GTACAAGTTCCCAATGAGAAACGTAAATGTGTTGTATACCTAAAATGTACCAATAAAAGAATTTAACAACAAAAAACGAAAACAAAAACTAAAGTTACCACGTTGAACGACAACAGATTTATGTCAGGATATACATAATCTTGAGAAGTAACCAAAAATATACCGGTATTTGAAAAAACATTAATAGTCTTATTAAAGTCATATATTTTCTATTATTGAGTCAATAGTTGCATTTGCTTTTGAGACATCTAGATTCCATTTTCAAAAATCAAAATATTCACAGAAGAATACATACAAATACGCTATAAGGTAATTTTTAAGTCTTTAATAATTTACTCATAGGGAAAATTCAAATTGAAAGTAACATAAGTTACTAGAAACTCATTAAAATTGGCTTAAATGAAGAGTTTGCTAATATTTGGAACAATTGGAATTTGTGTTCACTCCTGGCTAGAGTCTAAAATTAGATAAACTTGCAAAAAGTTTTACAAAAAGTTCATCATATAGGCACCAAAAGCAATAAACATATCACATAAGAGAGTTTTGTAGGAGCATTAGTCATAACAGTTCCAAAACAAAAGCAGTACAGATGTCCTTCAGCAATATACTGGGCTCACAAACAGTAATACGGCACATTAACACAGGAAATACTGCAAAGAACAAAAAAGTGCAAACTGCTGACAGGCAGGTAAATGTGGGCTATATTGTAAACTTATAATCCTTCTGGAAAAAAACTAACGCAAGAAAGATCTACTGTTGGATTGCATTACAGTGAAACTTTAGAGGAGCCAAACTGAAGAATGTGGATGGAAGTCAGACAGTGGCTGTGTGTTGAGTGTGGGTTTTCACTGGCAAAAGATTGGAAGACCACTCTGAGGAGGTGGAAGTTGTGTCTCTGATGCCATGTGTGGTGTGTGTGTGTGTTTGTGTGTGTGTGTGTGTGTGTTCCAAGTGCAGGCACTCATTGATACTGTTAGAAGGAAAAACACATATGGCCATTCAACTGTGTGGAAATTATACCTTCACTTAAAAAGTGACAATAATTAACCCTCAAATATTTAGTTAATTCCTCTAATATTTAGTTAATTTCTAACAGAAATATATCATGGGGAGTTAGATAAAAATTTATATCAGATTTATCATGTACAGTTTTACCAAACCACGAGTTGACATGGTAGTAAAACCATAGTAAATAAATCCAAACCCAATAGATTCTTCCAGACTGCAAAGCAAACATCAAAAACCAGATATATGCATATATGTGTGTATATTTGTGTGTGTGTGTGTGTGTGTGTGTGTATATATGCTTTAAGTGCTTTCTCTGTTAAAAAAACACAAACACATGCTTTATGCAGATTTTGATGTTTTAACAAATAAAAACACCATCAGTTACTTCTGACATCATTTCTTAAGTGGCTGAGACACTTCCTCAGGGCTCCCTTGACCTCATTGTTCCTCAGACTATAGATAATGGGGTTTAGCATAGGGGTGAAGATGGTATAGAATGCAGACACGACCTTATCATGTTTAACTAACCTGTAGGATTTGGGTCTCATGTAGATGAAAATCGCACCACCATAATAGAGTCCCACCACGGCCAAATGGGAGGAACAGGTGGCAAAGACCCTCTTGCGGGCTTCTGTGGAGCACATGTGCAGGACAGCAGTGAGGATGAGGCTGTAGGACATGAGGATGAGGGACAAGGGGATGAGGAGCATCAGCACGCAGCAGATGTACATGATATACTCAAAGGCAGAGGTGTCACTGCAGGCCAAGCGCACCAGTGTGGGGGTCTCACAGAAGAAATGATTGATCTCATGTCTGTTGCAGAAGGGAAAGCTCAAGGAAAAAGCAGCCTGCATGAGGCCATCCACTGCCCCCAGGAACCAGGACACCAAAGCCATTCTCAGACACAATGGCCAGCTCATAAGGTTGGCATACCGCAGCGGGTGGCACACAGCCACATAGCGGTCATAGGACATGGCTCCTAAGAGAAAGCACTCTGCACCACCAGTTGTCTGGAAGAAGAATATCTGCAGCCCACAGCCCACTGGGGAGATGAACTTGTTTCCAGTCAAGTAGGCAGCTGTCATCTTGGGCACGATGGTGGAGATGAGCACCAAGTCCATGAGGGAAAGCTGGCTCAGCAGGAAGTACATGGGTGTGTGCAGCTGGGGGTCCTCGTGAATCAGGAGAACCATGAGGCCATTGCCAAGGAGTGAGATGACCATAACAGCTACAATTACCCCAAAGAGAATCTGATGGGCTGTAGTGTGGTTGAAGAGGCCCAGGAGGATGAAATCTGCGGTGATGTTCCCATGGTCCATGACTTCAAACAGAGGAGCTGCTCTCAGTGGAAAGAGATGAGGGAGGCTCCCACATTTCAACACTCCATGTGAAGCACAGGTTCCTAGAAAAATGTGATTTTAACAAATGAAATCTATTTTAAATCCTTCATCTGATACTGGCAAAATGTTTTAAGCTGTATATAAAATTACCTGAAAACTGTCCTTATATTTCCAAATTTTAGGTAATAAATACCTAGTAGGTTGAGTGTTGATTAATTAATATAACAAATCCATATTTTGAAAATTTGCTATTAACATTACTTGACACTCACAAAAATTCATGAGAAGGAAAGTATTCACATTGCCATTTACATTTTGTCTTGCATCATATTATTCATTGTTGATAATCTTAGAAGCAGAATAAATGCAATATTTTAGTTATGTGGATGCTATGTACATCACAATGAAACTTACACATCTAGAACATATTCAAAGGTTTAACAAATGAAATCTATTTTAAGACCTTCATCTGACACTAAGAAAATGCTGTAAGCTGTATATAAACTTATCCGAAAACTGTTCTGATATTTCCAAATTTTAGGTAATAAACCCCTCATAGGTTGAGTATTGATTAATATAACAAATCCATATTTTGATAATTTGCTATTAACATTACTTGACACTCACAGAAATTCATGAGAAGGAAAGTATTCACACTGCCATTTACATTTTGTCTTGCATCATATTATTCATTGTTGATAATCTTAGGAGAATAAACGCAATATTTTAGTTATGTGGATGCTATGTACATCACAATGAAACTTGCACATCTAGAACATATTCAAAGGTTTAATCTACAAATGTCAAGTTATCTTCCCTGACATTGATTAACCCTGCAAGCTTTTTCCTTTCCAAAGAAGATGACCGAACACTCTCAGACATTGAACCTAGAAGAACAGTGCATTAGGTGATGTGTGCATGCTGGGCCTAAGCACCTGACAGCCACAACCTGCAGGAGGAAATGGTTCAGTTGCCTCACACTGCAGAGGTTTGGATCATGGACTGTGAGCTCCAGGGCTGAAACACCACACAGGAATTGTGGGGCTGAGTAAAGCTGCTTAGTTCCTGGTGGCTGAAAAGCAGAGTCAGGAGCAGCTCCAGGTAGGAAGGGGCCAAGAGCATGAACTGTAGCTAAGGTTTGTCTTCATGACCACAGTGACACACCTAGCTGTGGGCTTTACCACTCCTGAGCAGGTTCCATGGCCAGCCATGGTGCAGCCCAGCCCTCACAGTCTGCACAGCAAGGCACAACTGTGCGGAGCGAGTCTGCATTTAGTTCCACCATACAGAGTGATGTACTTCAACTAAAATGACCTTGCTTTTTTCTGCAATTACAACTACAACATCAAAGGCACACTTTCTTAATCATTCAAAAGTATTTTGCTGTAATGATCTGTTGCTCTTCTGTCACACAAATTCCCAACTTACTAGAAACTTGGGAGATCCTAGTACTTTATCCACAAGTGAAGCTACATCAATACTGCAATCATTCTCAAGAGGATCTAGATCTCTAAACCCATTCCTATCTTTGATCCACTTCTGCTGCTCCTCCTCTAACCTGTTCAATAAAACTTTCAAGGGCTGCAGAGATGTGGACAATAATTTCTGCCCAAGGTTACTGTCTCATTCTCCCCTTCGAAGGCAGGAGGCATCCATAGCATCTGGGGTCTTTCCTGCACCCACACATTATGCATCCTTCCATCACCAAGGACCAATCATGACGGAAACCATGTTGCCCTGGCCCAGCGCACTGCTGAGCCTAGTGCTTGCACTGAGCACCAGAGTTGGTTGCAAGAGTGATGCATCATCCTCCTCAACTACACACTCCCTCTGCTAAACCTGGAACATGCACATCAGCATCCTAATGCACACTCCACATGGGTCGGCTCCGGGAGCTCTGTTCTGCCCAGCAGCTACACACTGGGCAGGAGCTCAGCCCACTGTATCATCTTCCTCTTCCAGCCTCCCCCATTGCCAAAGGACTTTCAGTCTGTACTGCCCAGAATTCGTCAGTAACTTAATGACCATGGGCTGCTCAGAACACTTCTTAAATTCCTTTTCATGCTATGCAATTGGAGTGCATCTTGATGTAGTCCTAATAAGTAAATCACTATTCAGAGAGACTGTCACTGGTGTCCAGGCCTGAAAGTCCCTGTATTTCTCCAAATTGAAGCTCTATAGGAACTGAGCTGAAAATTCCCCTCTGCTGCCGGAAACCACCATTATTCTCCAGCACAGACCGAGTTACACCAGGTCACTCACATATGGAATGTGTTTGTATCTGTGTGAGTGTGCAAGTGTGAGTTTCTTCTCCAACCACTGATCACAATGTCCTCGGCTCATCAGTGCCCTCTTGGTGTCAGCGTGTCCTTCCTCTCCAGTCACCCACTCCCCTTCTGGCTCACACCTGGTTTGTTCCTTTGCCCAGCTGTGAGATTCCTGCTGCTCCACTGCTCTGTGTACCAGCAGGACTGAGAGGTTTGACAGAAGGTGAGCTCCCTCTGGGTGAGGCCTTGAGACAGCACAAGAAAAGCTCACTCAGGGTGTCCTCTTCTGTGTCACACAAGGGAGGTACATGTGTTTTCAGAGAAGAAACAGAACAACCTCCGGGATTCTCAGGTAAGAAAGGTACATTCTTATGATGTGGCTTCTACTCGGTTTTCAGTGATAATCAAATGTGAAATTGTTAGTCTCAATTTCTCAATTGAGCTAGATGATAAATGTACATTTCTTAAGGTAAAACAAATCTACAAAGGTGATTACATATTTTGAGTTCAATTTTTGATACACAATAGTAAGCATTTAGTTTAACAGAAAAAAGAAATTCTTCAATAAAATTGTTTGAAGTAGTGCCAAAATTTATTTGATTTAAAAATAAAATTAAAATTCCTTTCTATCTACTCATAAAGTAAGATATTTCACACTTGTAGAAATGTTTTAAATTTACACAATAAGGATTTTTTTCATATAATTCCTTAAAAAATACCACGAGTGTAAAGTAGTGTCCAAATTAGGAATGAAGAATTAGTTCATCCTGTAAATACAGCACTAAATTCATAAAGTAGCAGTGCAAACTCCACATTAATTAGTGAATTGCTTGAAAAATTCCTACCCTAAAATACATAGATTTTCTGTTCTTTCTTCTCTGTCTTTAAAATTTAACATTTTGTCTAAATACTTTTTCTTCTGCTTCCAAATCTGTTTCTTATAATGGTGAAATATGTTAGCATGTTTCCTCAAAGCACAGCCATGTATTTGCAGTGTGTGAAGGAGCACAGATAGGTCCCTTCCTTTCTTCTCATGAAAATCTTTCCAGCAATAATGAATTTAGAACAGCATCTGTAATTTCCTTTCCTAGGAAAATTACAGATTATGTTACATTACATTCTTCCCACTTTATTGCCAAAATTTGTCATTAGAACCATCAATGTATGGTCTACCCTGGATACTCAAAAATCAGTATGCTTTACAAAAAATAACATAGTGGGCTGGGGATTTAGCTCAGTGGTTCCTGCACCTGTCTCACAAGTGCAAAGTCCTGAGTTTGATCCCCAGTATGAAAAAAAAAATAACATAGTACCAGGCAAAGGATTTGACAGAGTGGACAGGAGAATGTAAGAATGATGGAAGCATCCACAGGCACACATTTAGCTGTTCAGAGAGTGAGACAGGTAACAGAGAGGACTTCCTTTACAAAATGTGTGAAGTGGGGTGTAACTGTGCTTCTCTGCAATTCAAGATTTACAAGGAAATCACTGACTCTGACCTACTTACATAGAGTAAGAATGAGGGCCATGGCAGATGGACCCAGAGAAGTGTCTAGATGGATGGAGTCTGTGCAGGATGCCATGGTGCTAGCTGAGAACTCCAGCAAATGGACCCACAGAAGCATGGTCTGGATGCACTGCATCATTGTGAGCTGAGGGCACCTCACTTTATCAGTGCCTCCTGTGATTGTCTCAGGCTCTGGCCCTCTGCCAGGCTCAGGTCCATCCCACCCTCATTAACCAGCCAGACCACAGAGGTGGGCTCTGTGGGCTCCAGAGATGCTCGATGTCAGAGCTACTTTACTGACTTATAGGATGTTGGTGTACTATGTACATGCTCCAGGAAGCTGTGATCAGTCACAATAATAAAAAATCATTCACAGCAATGTAAAATGCTAATTAATGTCCTTGCACAGGGATTATGATTTTAACAATAAACTAATGAGCAAAGAAATGATTCTGGGAGAAACCATGTCAGTAATCCTGGCACATTTCCCCACCCTATTGCCCTTGCCTTGTTCACAGGAGCAGCTAAACACAGTGCTGTCTGTGCATTGAGCTCCTGACCCACACTTCTCTGTGAGATAGGCCAAAGGTATTGTTTTAGGAAGAATGAATAAACACACCCAGTGTTCCCAGGGCCTCATCTCTTGGTCCTAGGACTTCAGACCACACCCGCTATGGGAAGAACAGTACCTCCCATGATTCATTCACAGATGTGCATTGGAAATTGCCAATTCAGCAGAGCAATTTTCAGACCAGATCCCTCCCCGCCCATACTAGTCATTCCTTAAGGGTTCAACCATTTTGGGACATTCTATTTTGTGTTTTAATTGGAATGAACTCATTTTTCAGGGTTCAAGTAGAAAAAATAGCTGATAATATCAGACTCCAAATTATATTCACATCATCTGCTAGACAAAGAATGATAGTGGAGAGAATGAACTCTTGGAGGAAGGCAGTGAGGGAACTTAGAATTGCAGACTAACAGGTCTTTAAAATGGTAAAACAGGAAGAATGAGATCATTTTAGCACTGACTGTATTTAACCTGCAACTGTTCTACTGTTTCTCCACTTTGGGGGAATGGGAGGGTTTTTGTCCCCATGGTGTAATGAGTTTAGTAAGTACTTGGAGAGTAGTGGAAAGCACCAACACTAATATTTATTTTCTCCATTTAAGTATCACATGAGTGAGGTGATGTAACATTTTCACAAAGA